TGCAGACAACACACTGCTGGAAACAAGCTACACAATATATTTGAAGCTGGCAGCCAAGTGATCTATGTCCAGGAGGTTTGGATGAAGGGAAGCCCAAAGAGAATTTCTGGGAATCCTTGGCCTCAGGATATTTTCATTAATAACTAAGGAGAAGTTGCCATTGTGCTTTTAGGATCATGATGACAGAGCTAACAGCACTGCTGCTGTCACCTGCTGTGCTGGGAGGAGTGTGGGCTCCAGCCTGTCCCCAAACTGCTTTGTGGCATCTCCCTGTGTGAGCCTTTCACATCTCTCTGCAATCACTTTCTCAAACCATCAAATAAGGACATTTTTCTGGGTGTTACAACAGCCTGTGGAAACCTCAGCTCCTAAAGAACAGGTTTTATTGACTGATGTGGGGTGAAAACTCAGAACAAGAAGCTTTTCCCTGCCCCAGACACCCTCAGACTGAGCATGGGCTTAGTGACTCACCTGAGGGAGCAGCAAGTTGTGATAACAGGTTTAAAATATCAACACTTAGTCAGTCTGCACATTGTGGAAGGATATTAAGATCCACTTTGACAGCAGCAAACACTCATGGCATTAAAAATGTTTTGGTTTTGTCTGCCAGGGTGGTAAAAGTCTGTGTTTGGAAGGGGTTTGTAGGTGTTGCCCAGAGCAGAGTGGGGCTGCCCCAGGTGTGTCCTGGAACAGGTTTGGGTGGTCGGAGAGCTCAGAAAACACTTGGAGAAGGCTGGGAAGGTGGATAGGAGTACTCCACCCTTGGTGTGTTTGCAGCCAGTGTTTGTGAGCACTCCCTGGGCTGATTGTGGAGGCAGAGCAGGGGCAGGGGCAGAGCTCTTTGGGCTGGGCAAGCAGCACCTCACTTGGACCAGCTCCTTCTCCCAGGAGGGTCCAGCACACTCCTCCAGGTAACTCCTGCTGCTGCTGGTGGTTTGGCTTTTCTTGGCTTTGGCTTTTGCTCTTCCTCCCCTGCTCAAGCAGTGCTGCCTGTGGTGCTCTTCTGAATGATCTTGGGAGCTCCTGCAAGTGCTCAGCTTCTTTTGTCTCAGCTTTAAAGCCCCTGCTTCAACTTTTCCCTTGCAGTGCATTAGCTTATTTTCCTGCAAAAGGACAGAAGAATGAAAAGCTCAGCTGTCTGACAGCCTTTCCACCAGCCAGGCTGGGATTGTTCACCTTGTGGCATTGCCTAGCTGTTCCCTCCCTGAAAGCTCAGGGTGTGAATGTTTGAACTATTTTGCTTTTTCCCATTTGGCTCCAATGCAGAGTGGCTGAAAGAATGGTATTAAAACCTGCCCCTAGAGCCTTAAGGAGTGCAATGCTGTGTGTCCTGGATGCACAGCCAGCTGCCAGGCTGCTCCTCAGGTTGTTCTTGGGTGGTTCTTGTTTGCTCTAGGTGAGTCATCTCAACTCTTCCTTCTCCTGTCCCCTCTCTACTGTCTATTGTGTGCCCATTCCTCCTCCTCAGCCACTGACAGGGCTCACATGCACTTGCCCACTGGTTTCATCATCCCCAGCACGTGCCTGAGATATCTTTTCCTGCAGGACAGCAATTGAGAGCTGCACTGAAGGCAGGTAAGGAGACTTTCTAAATCTCTGTCCTGTTACTAGTCCTTTCTTGGCTCCCCATGAATCAGAGCAGGAGTTTCTGCCTTCCTCCCTGGACATGGACATGTCCCCATGCTCACCTGGGCTGCAAGAGGCAGGATAAAGGGCAGTAAAGCTGATTATTTTTCTGGCATTTAAGTACAGCATATGGTGAGTTTTAGTGAGGAATTAATTGTGTACTTTTGATATGAAGAGCCACTGTGACACAGGGGATTGTAATATTGCAGGTTGGTCAATACATCTGAAAGGTCAGGCTTGGCTGCCTTTAGCCAGAGCACACAGCAGATCACAGATTTTTGTTGTCATTTTCTCTCCTAGTTTTCAAAGCTTTTCCTACACTTCCAGGACCAAAACAATGAGTTTAGAGCGGGAGAGAAAAAGGAGAATATTCCCAAGCCTTGAGCTCCTGCTCAGGCACATTATGGGTTCATATAACATTCAAAAAGTGCAAGTACAATTTTTAATTTGGATTATTTTCTGCAATACAATAGGAGCAGCGAAGCATTGTTTGGGAAGGGAACTGTTTCAGGGCTGTCTGATATGGAGGCTGGGAGTTCATGTTCCTTTTTGAACCAGCTGGGCTGCATTCCAGCTGGCCTGAAGGAGCCCCCCACGAGGATAATAGCCTTGAAGCTTGCTGAAGAGATCTGGATCTAGAAAAGAAGCCTAAGGATGAGAATGAGCTTACTGCAGCTCCTCCCTACTTCTAAGGGCTTTCTTCTCATTCTGAAGTGTGTTCTTGTATCAGCATCAGCTCTTTTTCCCCTCCAGTACCTGAAGGAGCTATGAGAAGGATGGAGAGAGACAATTTTCGAGGGCATGGAGTTACAGGACAAGAGGGAATGGCTTCAAACTGACAGAGAGTAGGGTTAGATTAGATATTGGGAGTTGTGGTGGTGAGTGAGGGCACCTCAGGGTGCTGAGGCACTGGCACAGGTTGCCCAGAGCAGCTGTGGCTGCTCCATCCCTGGGAGTGTTCCAGGCCAGGTTGGATGGGGCTTGGAGCAACCTGAGCTAGTGAAAGATGTCCCTGCCCATATATCAAATGAGAGAAAAATGGATTTGCACTTACAAACTAGAGGCCTGAGCCCTTTGGGGAAATACAGAACCATTTCATGCTGACGACAGCGCTGAAGATGCTCATTTATGCAGCTCTAGAGCCACACAACCAGCTGCAATAGTCTCTGCAGCTGCAGTTTCTGGATGGGATGGCACAAGGGAAGAGCTGTGACATTATTTGCTTGGCAACTTGACACTCTGCCAGTTTGATACCATTTTGCCTGTGTATGTTATCACTTCTGCTGCTGCTCAGCTGTGTCTATAGGTGGCAGTGACCTGTCAGTTTTCCTTTAAAATAGGGCAGGAGCATATGGACATCTATATCATCTATATCATAGAGTCACAGAATGGTTTGGGTTGGAAGGACCTTAGAGATTTTCTCATTCCACCCTCTGCCATGGGCAGGGGCATCTTCCACCAGCCCAGGTTGCTCCAAGTCCCATGCAAACTGGCCTGGAACACCTCCAGGGATGGAGCAGCCACAGTTTGTCTATTCTATGATTCCATATGTGCGTGGTGGAGAATGTTTGGTGTTTTGAGATCATACTCTGAGAGGGTTATGTAGCAAGTTTTCCCATTTTTAGCCACAAAAAAAAAAAGCCTCTCCAATTCCTATCCAGTTTTCTGTGAGAGAGTTCTGGTGAGTGAAAAGCATTTCAAACTCCACATGATCACTGTGCGTGTTTTATTTCAGTGAGAATTATAAACTTGATTGTAAAAATGGGTAAACTCTCCTAGAGCAAAATCTGCCAGAGATCAGAGCCTGAGATCTCTGCTCTGTATCAGCTAAGATAACTTACTTGGTGTGAGTAGACCTGAATCAACAGGAAACTGGAGGGAGTGAGAATCAAGCTACAAATCATCGTTGAAGTAAAATAAATAGAGGAATTTGCTTCTCTCTCTCCCCACAGATATTTACTGATTTCATAGCACATGTGAAAAAGGAAGCAAACCTGCAAATATTCCATCCTCTGCTTAACTTGTCTCTTGGCATAAACCAGGAATGGAAAACTAAAGTAAATCCTCCACATCCAACCAGATACTAAATTTCCCATCGAGACTAAGCAGTAGGATTTGATACTTGTTTCCTTCTCTTCCG